GGGTCTTGCTCTTGCTCAGGCTGGTCTCGAACTCCTGAGCTCAAGGGATCCTCCCGCCTTGGGCTCCCAGAGTGCTAGGATTACAGGCGTGAGCCACTGTGCCCGGCCAAAAAATATGTTTAATTTTTAGTTCTCATTATTTAATAATGGTCTGAGAATACTCAATGTAAGATAGTACAGGTTTATGAAATAAAGAATTCTGAAGATAATTATTTTTCTTCCCTTCTCAGCACTGCTTTATAAAATACTGTTGAGTCTATTAATTTATTCATAATACATACATTGACTGCCTACTGTATGCCAAGTACTGTGTAAGACTTATAGTCTGTGACTTCAGAAAGTTTACAGTCAAATTGGGGAAATAGACAAGTATGTAGGCAATTGTTGTGTAGTTTAATAAAGGCAGCATTTTAAAGAAGATAGCATAGGTTGCTAGCTGCACTGCACGGAGCCTGGGGGTGTGGTTAGGCTTCCTCAACGAAGAGATGAATAGTTGTTAGCCAGGCTACATCTATAAAAAGATGTAAGAGAGATGTTTAATGCTATCAACATTTTAGACAGTGTCAGTGGAGAAGTAAATATCTTTCAAAAATACATTTGATAAAATAAATTTAGAATTTTTTTTTTTAAGGAGACAGGCTTTTGCTATGTTGCCCAGGCTGGCCTGAACTCTTGGGCTCAAGTGGTCCTTCTGCCTCAGCCTCCCAAGTAGCTGGGACTACACATGCTCACCACTACACTGGTTGATATTTGGAAAATTTACCGCCAGAAAAATCCATCTATACCATGAAAATAGTCATTAAAAATCATATTTTTAAAAACTAAGAACATGAAGAAATGACATTTGATGTAATTTGAATGCAATTATATATGTCATATAAAATTATAATTTTTGTGAGCATTTATAAAATGAGATAGAGATTCAGACTACAAACAGGATAAACTTGATTGCTTCCTTGAAAGAATTCAAATAATGGCTTTTAAAATGAATGCAGAATCTTAATTTCAAGAAGCGTAGATCTCTTGAAATCTTATCAGATTAGTTTAGTTGACCTCAAATATGTTCATGTAAAATGAATATAACACACCACTCACAAGATATACTAGTTTATGAAACTGCTAGGTGGTACCAGGTATAATACTCTAAAACTAATGAATCTTGCCTAATTTGACGACACTTTTATTGTTGAAGGGGTCAAAAGCAGGTTGATATAAAACTTAAAACATTGAAATGAAAGTAAGTTAGTGGTAAAGACAAGAATTAACAGGCAGTCACACAAAATTAGAGTAATCTGAATATACGTAATAAAGCTAAATGGAATTTAGGAGCGGCATATTGAAGAAAATGTATACTCCGTACTGAATAATAAATCCACTATGAGATCATTTCCTAAGCAGTGTTATAATTATACAGGCACAGTATAGATCTTGTTTCTTTTGGACTATTTTCAGGATCTAGCACAGTTCTGGGTACTCAGTAAGAAACTGATTGAGATATGGGTGCTGCATTTTTATTTACAAGTCAGGAAAATCTAGGCAGAGAGTAGTATAAGGGAAAAACATGAGATTTGGACATGGGAACATTTTAAAATACTTTATTAAATAAAAAAAAACAAGTTATAAAATGATATATTTAATATAGCACCATTTTTTAATTTGAAAAATATACCTAAAAAAGACAAGAATACTTTTCACCAAAATGTCATCAGAGATTATCTCTGAGAGTGGAATGAAAAGATTTTTTTTTTCTGTTTGTCTCTATTTTTCAGTTTTTTTCCACGTGTATATATTACTAGAAAGAAAAATTATTTTAATTTACTAAGCCTACTTATTGAAGAGTATTTTTGAATTTTCTAGCAATAAAAATATGTTATATGAAAAAGATAAGATAAAATTTATGTAAAACAAATACTCGTGAAAAATTTGGTAGAAAATTCAGCAAAATGATCATAGTAATTCTTTCAAATTTCTGGTAGTATTAGTGATTTATTTTCTTTATTTTTCAAACTTTCTCTCCATGTTACAGCAGTTTATTTTTATAATTTTTTAAACTTATAAATCAAAAGAAATAAGAACAATTTGTAATAATCTGGTTAATGGTGTTAAGCTGACTGTAAGTATTTTGCTTACCATGTAGAAAGCGTTGCTCAGTCAGTGGAACAATGGGAATCATTGGCGGCACAGGCCTGAGCACATTGCTCTCTGTAAAATAGGAACTTGATAAATGTTTAGTGGAGATGAATTATGTTACGAACAGGTAACTGTAGAAATTTAAGCTGTAAGGAACCTTAGGTGATGATTTAGTACAACTTTTTTTTTATAGCTGAAGTTATTGAGGTCCACTGACCTTAATTTGCCCAGTATTTTGCAGCTAGATAGTGGGGAAGCAAGCATCAGGACTAACCTCCCAATTCTAGGCCAATCCTTTTTTAGCCACTCCCTGTAAATTAAATAACAGGGATACGATCATGCCCACAAGATCCAACAACTGTAAGAAAAGCAAGACCCAACTACTGCTTCAGTCTTTGAAACACACTGAGAGACAGACAGATTAGGCTGACATAGAGCAGGAGTGGTCATCTTGGTGAGCCACTGCCTTCGCTGGTGTCTACTTAATTTTAATTCTCACCAGTCATCTGGCAGTGGACCAGGTCAGCCTTCTGTACTCTGTGGTGGTTATAAAATAGCACCTGCTTGGTAGCTGCTCATTTTTGGTACAGTGTAGTATTTTGATTTTTCTTTTTCAGCAAACTAAATAAATTGGAGCAATTGGAGGAACTGAACCTAAGTGGCAATAAGCTTAAAACCATTCCCACAACCATAGCAAACTGCAAAAGGCTGCACACCCTTGTCGCACACTCCAACAACATCAGCATTTTCCCGGAAATACTGCAGTTGCCTCAGATCCAGGTACTTCTGTGTGCTGGAATGATGATGAAATGGCAGGAGTGTGCATTAGATTATTCTCATAAGGAAGAAATATTATTCTCTTCTCATATACCCAGTTTGGGACGAGTGTACGTAATTGATTCCTGGGAAGAAATTACGCTCCACTTTGGGGATATAGTAGGAGATTGAACATTTGGGAGTAAAGAACTAACTCACTGTGATGTATTTTCTTTTGATTTCTCCATTTCTTCTTAGTTTGTAGACCTGAGTTGCAACGACTTGACAGAAATCCTGATTCCAGAGGCACTGCCCGTCACGTTACAAGACCTTGACCTGACTGGAAATACAAATCTGGTTCTGGAACACAAGACTCTGGACATATTTAGGTAGGACAGATTTTGAAATTGAATCTGTTTTTGCTCTTAGGTCTGCCAGACATGTGTGGGTCTTCTCTAGGACTATGGAGACCTCGATTAATTAAACGAATAGAATGAATTAGACCATAATGCTCCTAGGTTCTCTTCTTTGATTCAGTTATGAATGGATGTTCTATCCAGTAGTCAGTCTGTTTTTAGTAGACATGGCCACTACCCACCCACACACTGAGTATTTTCACATAAGAGGCGTAGATGTTTGAGGTGGCATAGATCACGTCACAGCATCTTAGAGACAATACAAGTTCATTCATTGTACCAACACTTTATTTTGTCAGCTGGCTGAAACTTAGAAATCTTTTTTGTGCTTAGTTTTTTACTGCAACAAATGGCATTAATTATAACAATATTGGCTCCTATTTCTTCCTCCTCCCTTTTCCTTTCTCTCTTCTCCTCCTTGGCCAGGAGTTCAGCATACTACTTTCATTCAGTCTCTCTGGAAATGTATCTTTGTCAACAGATTATTTTATAAAAAGCTATATTATTGTTGGGATAGTTTTTTTAAAATACAGATGAATATACAGTTTAATCTTCCCTTCCTCCATTTTCCACAGCCATATCACAACCCTGAAAATTGATCAGAAACCTTTGCCAACCACAGATTCTACAGTCACATCAACCTTCTGGAGCCACGGACTGGCTGAAATGGCAGGGCAGAGAAATAAGTGAGTATGTTGGCCGTGGAGACTGAGAAAGAAAAAAGGCAGCCCCTGGCATGTGAGAATAGGTCTGAGGCCCACAGTTAGGCCATGTTGTTCTCCTTTTGCACGTGAACAAATCACAGCATGTCAGTGTTGGATAAAATCCCTCTGAGACCATGATAAAGGGAGACAAAAAGAAGATGAATGTACAGTCAGCAAAGCACCAGACACCCCCTTTCATGGCTAAAATGGGTGAATGCTACTTTCTTTGCCAGTTATAGCTTTATCCTTCTGCTAATCTTTGTTCCATGTAGATAAGATATATTGAGATACCCAACCAAAGAATGGCCCCACTTTCTGATAGCACCCAATCTAGTATGATCCTCCACCTCCTTAGACCCTCTGCAGAATGACCCAGCCAAAGCCCAAAACCTCTACTAGGTTCTTTCCAGCACTCTCTTACCTATACACCCCAGAGTTCCATGGTGAGCATTCCCTTGTTGCAAAGAGTAATAAATTCAACTTGTTCAACCACAGGTGGTGTGCTTTGGTGGTCTTCGACTGAAGGTTCTTGACAAAACTAGTCCTTAATTACTACTAAGAGAAAACATTTTATCTTTCCAGCCTGTGGCAGCATCACACAGCTAATAAGTACTGCCCATGAATGTGGCTGAATTTCCCCTTTCCTTAGGATATCAGCTCTTCCAGATGCTGCTTAAGTATCATATCTAGGGACTTTTTTTGTGTGTAGATTATGGTTTACTACTAGTCTTCTCCACTTTGAGTTAATAGTTACTTTTTAAAAGAATGCTCCCTGATGAATAATCTTTTACTGATAACTTTCTTTGATGATTGTCTTTCTCCTATTTCTGTCATAGGCTGTGCGTTTCTGCACTTGCCATGGATAACTTTGCGGAGGGAGTGGGAGCTGTGTACGGCATGTTTGATGGGGACCGAAACGAGGAGCTCCCTCGCCTGCTCCAGTGCACGATGGCAGATGTACTTGTGGAAGAGGTGCAGCAGTCAACAAATGACATGGTTTTCATGGCTAACACCTTCTTGGTGTCTCACAGGTAAGCAGGTGGGTTGAATAATCCCTAACTCACTTCTACTTTTGCAAAATAAATCTCTCTAAACCAGGTCAGGGTCCACATTATGAATACAAGGTCAAGGAGAGATCTTACTACTACTTCCATGATCATCCTCTCCATATATCAGCATGGAGTGTGGGGATCTGGCTCTTTGAAGAGCCTGTGGAGTCATCTGTTTTCTCTGTTGAACCCAAAGGCTGCTGAGGATCTGGGAAGCCCAGAATTTATGTGCAAATGTTGTCTGTGTGTATATGAGGCTGTACATTTGGGGAGGGAAGGTGGTAAGCTTTCATAAGATTGTCCAAAGGGTCAGTAATCTACAGAAAGGTTAACAAGCATTCATCAGATTCATGTGTTTAGAATACTTGTTATTGGGGGTTTACCCCACTAATCTTCTAATTAAAGTCTAAACCACTTAAGGGCAAAAACCATGTACAGATGGGGTTACAATGGGGTTATGTCCTGATAAAGTTCTGTCAGTTGAAAATATTGTAAGGTGAAAAAAATGCATTTAATACTTCTAACCTATCAAACATCATAGCTTAGCCTAACCCACCTTAAATGTACTCCGAATACTTACATTAGCCTATAATTGGGCAAAATCATCTGGCAATACTACACTGTAGAATATCGGTTGTTTTCCTGCCATGATCGCATGGTTGACTGGGAGCTGTGGCTCACTGCTGCTGCCCAGCATGGCGAGAGAGGGTCGTACTGTATGTCACTAGCCCAGGAAAAGATCAAAATTGAAAGTACAGTTTCTACTGAATGCATACAGTGTTGCTTTCACATCATCATGAAGTTGAAAAATTGTAAGTCATACTACTGTAAGTCAGGGACCGTCTGGATAAACAAACAGTAATGGAGCATCGTGCGCATCAGGTGGGCTGCATGGAGGATGTGAACAACTGAGAGGTTGTCAACTTGTATAATCAAGGTTGAAATGGAACAGCCTGCAGCTTGAACTGGTTTTATCTGTCGTTATAACACAAAGCAAGGTGTTGGGAAAGGAGTCTATTTTTCAGTAGTAAAACTGAGCAGGAGACTTGGCAAAATAAAGGGTTTGTGAATGGGAACTCAATCTGTGAAGCACCTCTCAAGAGCTAGGCACTGTACCATGTATTTTTTATACTATATTTTTAATTTTCAAAACAAGCCAGAGGGGTAGGTCTTTTATCCGAGACATTTCTTAGAGAAATAACTTGCTCAGGATCTATAGCCAGGAAATGGCAGAGGTGGAATTTGAAATGAGATCTAATAGTGTCTGCTCCTTGCTGGCATTGTGCACTAAGTGCAGGTGTGGACGCCACGTGTATGGGGGAAACAGAAGGAAAATTATGGTCCTTTCCAAGAAACTTACAAGTGAGCGGTTCTCAAAGTGGTGTTGTAGGACCAGCAGCCTCGGCATCACCAGGATTTGTTAGAAATGTGGATTACTGGGCCAGCCCCTTATATGCAGTAAATCAGAAACTGGGGTGGGGCCCAGCAGTCCCTGCTCTAACGAGCCCTCCAGGTGGTTCTGATGTGCTAAAGTGTGAGAACCTCTGAATTAGCAAGTCTGTGATCAGATACAGAAGCAGTAGAGAGAGATGCACCTTCACTGTCTCCCCAACCCTGCCCCCCATCCGCCCGTCTCCACCCTCCACCTTCTGTAAAATCTCTTTTCTCAGTCAGCTGAGAGTGGAAGGCAAAGCTCTCTTTACCACCATCACCCACAGCAAGAGTCTGCCGTCAGGTGGGTAAGGGTGAGGCTGGTTCACGATCACAGGGCAGAAAACCACGGAAAGGACAGACGTGAAGGACCCCCACTTCCTTCTGAAACTAGTTACCATGTCTTCATTTTCTTTTCTTTCTAAACAGGAAACTAGGAATGGCCGGCCAGAAGCTGGGCTCCTCTGCTCTCCTGTGCTACATCCGCCCTGACACTGCCGACCCAGCAAGCAGTTTTAGCTTGACTGTGGCCAATGTTGGCACGTGCCAAGCAGTCCTGTGCCGAAGTGGGAAGCCACTGCCCCTCTCTAAAGTCTTCAGCCTGGAGCAGGACCCAGAGGAAGCACAAAGGGTGAAGGAACAAAAAGCCATCATTACAGAGGTGCGTCTCCCTCTCTGTCAGTCACTTCCATCCCCAGATCTAGTGATCACTTTTGCTGTGCACAGAAGTGACGAAAGTCTTCTCCTGTTATGCCTTGTAAATTGTATCCAATCCAAATAAAAGTTCAATTCAGATGGTTTTAGTAATAGTACCAGAAGAAAATCTACTGAGCTGTTAGTAACTAACAAAAAGAAAAAGCAAAATGAATTAGATATGAAAATTCCTAATTTGTGATCCTTTAAATACGTAGCCAACATGTAAAGTGTATGTTGAGTGTCCGCTTTAGCTAATTTCCAACTCATCTGGTTTGTTTTTCCAAACAGAAGAAGCGTTTTATAGTTTGACGTCCCCATTCTGAAGTGCAACATTTCAAAATATTTTTCTGTTTATACTGTATACGGCTTACTATGCTCTAGTGTTCTTTTTTAATAATGAAGCATCAATATTTCTACTATATTTTAGCTTTTCTCCTTTTTTAGAAATCAGCATAACACTTTTGCTATCAAAAAAACTTTAGCAATTACATATGAACATTGTTTATTGCAAAGCAGTATTCTGTTCAGATCTTTTGCCCATTTTAAATTGGATTGTTTATTTCTTTATCGTTGAGTTTTAAGAGTTCTTTGTATACTTCATAAACAAGTCCTTTATCAGAAATGTGTTTTGCAGCTATTGTCTCCCAGTCTGGGGCTTGTCCATTCTTTTAAGTGTTTTCTACGGAGCAGAAGTTTTTGGTTTTATTGAAGGCCCACTTGTCAGTTTTTTTCTTTCATGAATCGTGCTTTTGGTGTATATAAGAACTCATCGCCAAACCCAAGGTCACCTAGATTTTCTTCTGTGTTACCTTCTAGAAGTTTTATAGTTTTGTGTTTTGTATTACTCTTTAGGTCTGTGGTCCATTTTGAGTTAATTTTTGTGAAAAGTATAAGCTCTGTGTCTGGAGTCATGTTTGCACGTGGATGTCCAGTTGTTCCAGCACCATTTGTTGAAAAGACTGTCCTTTCTCCATTGAATTGCATTTGCTTGTTTGTCAGAGATCAGTTGACTGGATTTGTTTGGGCCCGCTACTTGTGGGCTCTCTATTTTTCAGAGTTCTGTATAAGGACTATCCATCTTAGGGTCCGTCCTAGGAAACAAAACCGAAAAGAATCATTATGATGTGGTTGATACTGTTAGGATTCTGGAAGTAGGCATTAGTTTTAGGAGGGTCTTTCAGTCAAAACAAATGAAAGATAAAATATAACTTTTTTTTTTTTTTTGAGACAGAGTCTTGCTTTGTTGCCTGGGCTAGAGTGAGTGCCATGGTGTCAGCCTAGTTCACAGCAACCTCAAACTCCTGGGCTCAAGCAATCCTCCTGCCTCAGCCTCCCGAGTAGCTGGGACTAGAGGCATGTGCCACCATGCCCGGCTAATTTTTTCTATAGATATGTTTTTAGCTGTCCAGATAATTTCTATTTTTTAGTAGAGACGGGGTCTCGCTCTTGCTCAGGCTGGTTTGAACTCCTGAGCTCAAACAATCCCCCCGCCTCGGCCTCCCAGAGTGCTAGGATTACAGGCGCGAGCCACCACGCCCAGCTAAAATATAACTTTTTAAATTTAAAGATTTCTGTATTTATTTTTTAAGGGATGTCACCCAGGCTGAACTCAAACTCCTGGGCTCAAGTGATCCTCCTTCCTTAGCCTCCCAAGTAGGTGGGACTATAGGTGCATGCCCCACCACACCTGGCTTAAGATAACTTTTTTTTTGACTATTTTTATAGAACTTAGATATTGTTATTTTAACCACAAACGTTAATTGTTAACCTATTATTTGCCAAACGTTATGGAGTTTTTGTTTGTTTTTTTTCCTTGAGGAGAAATCAACACAAAGTGTCTGGTGCATGAACATTCCCAACCTTCAAGCAAGGTTATTCCTTTTCCTCTAGGTGTCAAATGACATGGGTTCTGATTCGATGTGCTGTTTATTCTCGGTACCATCCTTACAGAGTGGATAAATCATGCTGCAGGTTTCACACTCTGCTTTTCTAGGCTGAATAACCTTAGAGATTATTCGATGCTTTAGCTACCAGGATTTTCTTAGCCAATTGGTATCTTTTCAGTCCCAACCGTGCCTTTAAATGAGAAGTCATTTTTAGTGACCCATTTGAGTTTTGACCTCTTCGAGAGCACTAGTGATGGAGAATTAATGGCAATTCTGCCTGTTGTTTTCCTAACACATGTTTCTCTATTTAAGGTCATGCTGAGGCTTGTCCTTCATGTTAGAGCAAATATCTTTTGAGATAGTGGTACCTTTAGTCACTTAATTCAATTGAATTGAATTCAGTCCTTTGAACTATTTGGTATAATAACCGTGTAGTATTTTGTCTTTTGAGACTTCTCTACATTGATTTTTAAAGTACACTTAAAATTATACTCTTCCATAGGAAAAATCATGTAACAAATTCTATTTTATTGAGGATCCCTAAGCACTGCAGTCTAGAAAGATATAAAGTGACATATCACTGTTGCTTGTTTCTCAGTCTACGTTCTGCTCATCTCTAGGACAACAAAGTGAATGGGGTCACCTGCTGTACCCGCATGCTGGGCTGTACTTACCTCTACCCCTGGATCCTCCCCAAACCCCACATTTCTTCCACTCCGCTTACCATTCAAGATGAATTGCTGATTCTAGGCAACAAAGCATTGTGGGAACACTTGTCGTATACGGAAGCTGTCAATGCAGTGCGTCACGTACAAGACCCATTAGCAGCTGCCAAGAAGCTGTGTACGTTAGCACAGAGCTATGGTTGTCAGGACAATGTAGGGGCGATGGTGGTTTATTTGAACATTGGTGAGGAAGGCTGCACTTGCGAAATGAATGGACTCACCCTCCCAGGTCCTGTGGGATTTGCTTCGACCACCACCATCAAGGATGCCCCCAAGCCCACCACTCCCTCCTCTAGCAGTGGGATTGCCTCTGAGTTCAGCAGTGAGATGTCCACCTCGGAGGTGAGCAGTGAAGTGGGCTCCACTGCTTCTGACGAGCATAATGCCGCGGGCCTGGATGCTGCCTTGCTTCCACGGCCAGAGAGGCGCTGCAGCCTTCATCCAGCGCCCACCTCTGGGGTCTTTCAGCGCCAGCCTTCTTGTGCCACCTTTTCCAGTAATCAGTCTGACAACGGCCTGGACAGCGATGATGACCAGCCTGTTGAAGGGGTCATAACCAATGGCAGCAAGGTGGAAGTGGAAGTAGATATCCACTGCTGCAGAGGAAGAGATCTCGAGAGCTCTCCTGCTCTTGCTGAGAATCCTCCTGCCCTGTGTCCTGAGGAGCATGCTAGAGGGTTGGGATTTGGGATCCGAAGACAGAGCAGTGTGACTAGTGGCATACTGCTGCCAGTGAGTAAGGACAGGATAGAGTTACAGAAGTCTCCCTCCACTTCCTGTCTCTATGGAAAGAAACTCTCGAACGGCTCTATCGTGCCCCTAGAAGACAGCCTGAACCTCATCGAAGTGGCCACAGAAGCACCCAAGAGGAAGACTGGCTATTTTGCTGCCCCCACTCAGCTGGAACCGGAGGATCAGTTTGTTGTACCTCGTGACCTGGAAGAAGAAGTGAAGGAACAGATGAAACAGCACCAGGAAAGCAGGCTCGAGCCCGAGCCCAATGATGAGGATCGGACCGAGCCCCCAGAGGAGTTTGACACGGCGCTGTGACTCCACCCCCACAGTGGCACGATGCGGGGAAAAGGCTGTGTGCTGTTGTCGCGGGACCCTGCCAGTGGCATTTTGCCTCTGCATTTCTAAACCACAGGTGCGCGGGGCGGAACTCGGAGCCAAAGGCGAGAGTGATCAGGGCCTGGCTCTGGATAAGCTAGTAGCCACCGTCAGTGTTAGTTTCACGTGGAACCTGCATTGGAATTCCCAGAGTTGCTGGGAAGGAAGCAGCTGTTCTGTATCAGTCCTACCACCTGCCATTAACCCTTTCTCTCCTAGGATCATTTTGAGAATTTGCCTGCCTGGGCAGGAAAGGGACTATTTCTGTGGAGGAAATAACTGAAGGTTGATTCCCTTTACTAATTGCTGCTGATGGATCTCTGTGACAGAGAAATCACCTTATCTCTCAAACTAACTAATGGGGTATGATGTGACTAGTCACATGGCTTTTCATTCTTCTCTACGAGAATACAGCCTATCAAAATGATGTCTATTGGAAATGTAGAACCAATCAAACAATTAATTTATGTACGTAATGTAATGAGAGCACTTTTCATTGACTGTGAACTTTTTATTTTTGAATCTGCACTCGAGCCAATCTTCTTAAAGGCAGCCCGGCACCTTTGTCCACAGGCAGAGAGCTAGTCGGCATTGTAGCCTTCTCTGAGGGTACTAGGAAGGGCCCTGGGAACTGGTTTAACTGTTGGATGTCAGACTGTGAAAGCTCCTGAGAAACTTGGGATAGTAGGATCTTCTTTTGGGGATGAAGATGGGGGAGAAGTGAGGACTAAGACTACATTCTCCCAAATCAGAAAGAGAATTACCCCTTGACAAATGTGAAACCTGCTAGGAATTTCCCAGCAGATCACAAGGGTGACATTTGGGGATTGGCATCTGTCCCTGACGTGCGGTAGGTAGGGCTGGCAGTCAGCCTCCTAACAGGGAGGGCCAAGGCTGACACTGCTCGCGTCCAGGTAACGTTGAGTTATGGCGGATGACTGTGAAACAGACTGAGGCCAAAAGAGAACAGATGGATGGAGCTCACAGGTTAGACTTGTTCCTTCTCTTACTCTAGAGCAGAGGGATGGTTTTCTAGAATGTTGGAAGTGAGTTGAGAGCTCACCTCTTGAATGTTAAACAGTGTACTGTTCTGAAAACTGTTTATTCACCTTATGTAGTTTCAGAATATTGGACTCAATACTAATATAAGAAAGACACTTAATTGAGAAATTCTTAAGCTTACAGAAAACCTGTATTTTTTGCACATTCCATATAACCCTAGCAAAATGCAGTTCCTTCCACATTTCTGTCGCTTTTTCCATTAGAAGATTTACTTAGGAAAATTAATTCCCATTTATTCCTACAAAATTTTGGTATTGCTTGACTTTACCCAATGGGGAACATGCTTTGAATTTTTGGAACACTTACATAATTAAAAAGAAAATAGAGTGGAACCATTTTTAATTTGTTTCATCAGAAACAAAATGTTAAAGAGAAGGTTGAATATATATATATTTTTCCTTCGTGTTTTTTGGGAATTTTTTGTTCAAAGCAATAGTCAAAAACCTGATGACCTGTCCACAAATGGTTGTGTGTCTTCATCTTCTCAGAGACCCCATACCCATGTGTGTGTTGTCAGTGGGGTACACTCTTGGGGGATTCTGTACCACTCTGATGGCTATCTAATGTTCAGCCCCTCTAGAGTCTGAACTTTGGTCCCTAAATTGTCAGGAACGCTTGACTTCCCTGTGTCAAACTACTGGTCAGCTATTTGACAAAGTTTAGAGCTCAGGTCTTTGATTAGAAGTGGGGAGCATAGTGGCTTATACAAAGCGTAGGTGCTGTTAGAAAAATGGGAACAATGGTGTGTTGCCACCTTATTTTTATATGGAAAATTTTCAAAAATGAAGAAAAAATGGAAAAATCCAAGATGACAGTGTTGGGTGATGGAAAACATCTTTTTACTCAGACAACAGAACCTTTGGGTTATAGAATAGTGACACTATCTAAAAATGAAAGTTATTTTGGGAATATTCCACTTTAATACTATAGACTTATAGACATCATTCATTATATGTGAACCCCTTTCTTGTCTTCTATTTGTTTGTCACTCTACTTACTGGAAACACCGCAAAACCCAGTTCTGAAAAGACCGTACCAAAAGTAAATGTGTTTACTTTTTAGTGAGCAGAACTCTGGAATTCCAAATGTTCTTTTATGTGGTAGAGTTATTTTTAGGAGCCATTAAGTTGTATTGAAAACCTTTAATATAGGCTATATCAAAACCGATTCTTCTTTTTTACAATCTGTTTTAAGTCATGTCCTACAGTTGCTCTGTATCAAAACAGAGGGTAAAAAGGCCATAGCCCATTACCAAAAATATGATACAAAACTCTTCTGACCTACGAGATGATTTCAGACATTGTGTTATCTGAGTAGGCTGTCAGTTGGTGAGATCCAGTCATCTGTCTTCAGGAGAATATAGTCTGCTTCCATGACTTTACCCAGACGGGTGCTCCCCAGGAGGGGAGAGCACAGCTGATCTCTAGCACAGAGATTCTGGCCTCTGCAGGCTTCTCAGGTCTCTGTGTGTACCTCCCATTTAATAGAGAAGTTTTAAGAGAAAATTGAAAGAAGAACAGTCCTGATTATGGGAGCAGTTCAGGAGTCCCGTGGAAAAGAAAACGATGTGTCTTGGCAGCCATGGTATTCTTTCTGTTATCCAAATGGATTGGAAATATATTTGAAAATCTGAGTGTTGGTATGATGTAAAGCTACAGTGCTGCTACAGAGACAAGTCATTGAATTACCACTCCTGATACAGGTGAGGGCTTTATTATACTGCTGTAGATTATGTGTACAATAAATGGGCGGAGTCATTCACTGGTGTGCAGAAGAGCCAACAGGAGCAGCTTGGTCATCCCCGGGTGCTATTCCAATTGCTCATAGCGAGTGCTGTTCTCCAGGAGATGGAGCCGGGTAGGCTCTGCCGATCTACTCAATATCAAATGATGTTCTTTCCATGTTCAGTGGAAGCAGGTACTTGGAAGCCACAGGCTCACCTTCTCTATCTATTCAATAATTATTAATGAAGAGACCTCCATAAGGGAGCACTTGGCTATCATCGATACATGTACCAATTATTAAATAATTAGTCTCCAAGCCATCGGTGATGTCTGCAGCATCACTATAGAACTGTCTTGTGTCACTTTTTACTTCCCTCTGGTGGAGCCTTTCAGACTCCCCAGTCATGGAGGCAAGTTAATATTTCTCTCCAGTTAGTGACTTTTGCCCCAGAGTTGGGTAAACACTTCCTAGAAGGAGAAAAGCAGCTACAGTAAATCCTGCTGTTTCCCTCCTTTGGTGATCAATCACACATACGCTCCTTGTACTCTAAATTTCCCGCCCTTCTCCCAGGCACTGTAGGGTTTTCTCTCACTGTTGCCAATGGATGTCATCCAGACAGTGGGTTCATATCTTATGGTTTGTGCAATCATTGTCGTATTGTAGTCCTAAGACTCATTATAGTGTATTTTTGATATTTTTGAAATGTGTTAAATTTTTTAATTCAATAATATGAGCCAGAGCATGTTGCAGCAAATCTATTGTTTGTAAAAAATAACAACAATAATAAATAAAATAAAATGGAATTATCTTTTTCATGGCTTTGTTTTAAAATGGAATGCCTGTTATTTTATAAATATTTTAGCAGGAAGCTGTAATTTTCTCTCCTAACTTATATGTAGAATTAGGTTCTTAACTGAAGGCACTTTGAGGATTTTTCTGCTTTCGTTTTAGGGAAAGAAGCAAGAACAAAAACATGAACCCACATTCCATGACATTCCACAAAGCTATGAGTTAAGGCAAGAATTAAATATTTTTGATCATCTTTTCAGCTGAAATAGCAATAAAAAATTTTTACTTTAAGAAATATTCTGATGTGGTTTGTACGTTTAAAGAAATCCCAAAGACAGGAAACACGGCCCTTATTTACGTGCAAGGAAACTCAGTTGTAAAAAATCTACAGCTCTTCTTAAGTGAATCACAGAGCCGATGACACAGGAGGTCGTTGGATATGCTGGCCGTCACATTTGTCATAATGGGATGGCTTTGGTGTCAGAAGGACTTCCAGACGCAGTGGTGCATATTGGCTCACAAGATACTTGGAATCCAGCTGAGCCTCTAAATTGTTGCCTCCTCCCTGCCACCATTGGGTGTTTCCCATAACGTGCAGACTCCAGGTAAGATTAGCTGCCTCTCACTCCAGCTAGAGGCCACGCAAGATAAAGTCTTTTGCAGGTTTCCCCTTCACCTAGCAGAATGAACATTTTAAAAACGTAGTTCAAAAATGTTACTGAGGGCCGGACGCAGTGGCTCACGCCTGTAATCCTAGCACTCTGGGAAGCCGAGGCGGGTGGATTGTTTGAGCTCAGGAGTTCGAAACCAGCCTGAGCAAGAGCGAGACCCCATCTCTACTAAAAATAGAAAGAAATTAATCAGACAACTAAAAATATATAGAAAAAGTTAGCCGGGCATGGTGGCGCATGCCTGTAGTCCCAGCTACTCGGGAGGCTGAGACAGAAGGATTGCTTGAGGCCAGGAGTTTGAGGTTGCTGTGAGCTAGGATGACGCCACGGCACTCTAGCCGGGGCAACACAGTGAGACTCTGTCTAAAAAAAAAAAAAAACAACCATTACTGAGCTCCTTCCATGTAGCGGGTACTATGCCGCGTTTACATTAATACCTCAGTTCCATGAGACACACACCTCCCTGATCCAGAGTGGCAGAGATGAAATTCTCGTATGTTCTCTGCTTCATGCAGTATTAATTCCCTCATATGCCAAAGGCCACAAGTCACTCAGAATATGTTACAGTGTGTGATTCAATGGGTATGCATTTTGCCTCTGCTACTTAAAAAAGTTTGTGACTTTAGGCAAGTCCCGTGGCCTCTCTAAGGCTGTTTACCTCATTTGTTATAGGAAATCATAGTATCCGTGGTCCGTCAGGCAGTGGTGAGCCTAAATGAAGTGATGCGA